AAAGAGAATTTTCTCGAAAATTTTCTATAGAAAAGAGAATTTTCTCGAAAATTTTCTATAGAAAAGAGAATTGTCTCGAAAATTTTCTATAGAAAAGAGAATTTTCTCGAAAGAAAAGAGAATTTTCTCGAAAATTTTCTATAGAAAAGAGAATTTTCTCGAAAATTTTCTATAGAAAAGAGAATTTTCTCGAAAATTTTCTATAGAAAAGAGAATTTTCTCGAAAATTTTCTATAGAAAAGAGAATTTTCTCGAAAATTTTCTATAGAAAAGATAATTTTCTCGAAAATTTTCTATAGAAAAGATAATTTTCTCGAAAATTTTCTATAGAAAAGATAATTTTATCGAAAATTTTCTATAGAAAAGATAATTTTCTCGAAAATTTTCTATAGAAAAGATAATTTTCTCGCAATTTTCTATAGAAAAGAGAATTTTCTCTAAAATTGTCTATAGAAAAGAGAATTTTCTCGAAAATTTTCTACAAAAAAAGAGAATTTTCTCGAAAATTTTCTATAGAAATTAGATTTTTTTCGAAAATTTTCTACAAAAAAGAGAATTATCTCGAAAATTTTCTATAGAAAAGAGAGTTTTCACGTAAATTTTCTATAGAAAAGAAAATTTTCTCTAAAATTATCTATAGAAAAGAAATTTTCTCTAAAATTTTCTATAGAAAAAGAAATTTTATAGGAAATTTTCTATAGAAAAAAATAATTTTTTCTCAAATTTTCTATACAAAAGATAATTTTTCAAAATATTTGTATAAAATACAAAATTTTTCTAAAATTTTTAATAAAAAAAAGATTTGTTCGAAAATTTTCTATAAACAAAATAATTTCTCAAAAAACTGTCTATTAAAAAAAAGAATTTTTCTACAAATTTTCTATAATAAAGTGAATTTTTCGAAAATTTTTTGTATAAAAATATTTCTATAAAAAATAGAATTTTTCTAAAAAAAACAGAATTTTTCGAAAATTTTCTATAAAAAGAGAAAATTTTTTGAAAATTTTTCATAAAATAGATTATTATCGACAATTTTATATCAAAAAGAAAATTTATAGAACATTTTTATAAACATTTTCTACAAAAAGAAAAATTAATCGAGAAATTTATCATAGGACCAAATTTATTGATCAGATGAATGCTAAAAAAAGGAAATTGTATGGACCAAACTGATTTTAAACAAGGGCTTAATATAGATCGTTCAATCCTTTAACGATATTGAGCCTAGTAACCTTTTTATATATGTACATATGTATTTATATACGACTCAGATAAATATCATAAATTTTAAAATTGATATGAATCTGAACACTACTAATATTTCTATCTTGATAAGTACTTAATATTAAAAAAAAAAAACATTATATTCTAATTGCAATCTAACTTATCTTCAAGGTCAAAATATTCATCAAATAAAAATTCCATTAAAAAGTTTTAAAAATAAAACTGAGTACATCTTTAATTAGTTACCAAAGCAATTTTATAAAAAAAATTACAATAATAATTTAAAACGTATATTTTTAATGAACTTCAAACGTGAATATAAAACATAAAGTATATAAAGCTATTTAAATGCATCTTTAATTTAAAACAAACCCAGATCAATGAGTCATATTATTATTAAACAAACATTATTCATCAACATAAACCAGAATAGTTTTATAATAAGTTTTATTCGAAAACCAATTAATTGAAACTGTTAAAGTCTAAGCAACCAAAGGTGTTAGTTAGCAAATATTTCTTCTCTACTATAATACATTTTTAATGAGTCATTTTTAATAAGTGGCATAAACAAATTATTTAAATTACTTTAAACCATTAATAAATGATTTATGTATATCGTAGTGTTTGATTACACTTGTTATGATAATTTAAATTAATCATGATTTTTCTTATGTTTTCTGTTAAGTTTTTAAAACGCAATAAAAATAATTTTTAAAATAAAATCTAATAAAAATTTTACAAAAGTATAAAAATGGTTAAAAGATTCCTAATTGTTTCGTTTGAAATGATGACCATCTTTCAAAAACAAAAGACTTAAGGCACGAACTTGATTAAAGTAAAATTTTGTTAGTCAGAACAAAAGACTTAAGTAACAAACATGCAATTAGGTAAACATAGAAAACGCTAAACCTAGACTATAGACTAGACTAAAGACTAGACTAAATGACTAGACTAAGGACTAGACTATAGACTAGCCTATAGACCTTAAACTTATAGACTAGACTATAGACTAGAACTATAGACTAGACTATAGACTAGGACTATAGACTAGACTATAGACTAGGACTCTAGACTAGACTATAGACGTAGGACTATAGACTAGACTATTCGACTAGACTATAGACTAGACTATAGGACTAGAACTATAGACTAGACTATAGACTAGACTATAGACTAGACTCTAGACTAAACTAAGACTAGACTCCAGCTAGACTAGAATAGACTAGCCTAGGACAATATAGACTAGACTATTAGACAGACTAAGATAGACTATAGACTAGACTACAGACTACAGACTAGACTATAGACTAGACTATAGACTAGACTAAGACTAGACTATAGACTAGACTATAGACTAGACTATAGACTAGACTATAGACTAGACTATAGACTAGACTATAGACTAGACTATAGACTAGACTATGGACTAGACTATAGACTAGACTATAGACTAGACTATGGACTAGACTATAGACTAGACTATGGACTAGACTATAGACTAGACTATAGACTAGACTATAGACTAGACTATAGACTAGACTATAGACTAGACTATAGACTAGACTATAGACTAGACTATAGACTAGACTATAGACTAGACTATAGACTAGACTATAGACTAGACTATAGACTAGACTATAGACTAGACTATAGACTAGACTATAGACTAGACTATAGACTAGACTATAGACTATACTATAGACTAGACTATAGACTAGACTATAGACTAGACTATAGACTAGACTATAGACTAGACTATAGACTAGAGATAGACTAGACTATAGACTAGACTAGACTAGACTATAGACTAGACTATAGACTAGACTATAGACTAGACTATAGACTAGACTATAGACTAGACTATAGACTAGACTATAGACTAGACTATAGACTAGACTATAGACTAGACTATAGACTAGACTATAGACTAGACTATAGACTAGACTATAGACTAGACTATAGACTAGACTATAGACTAGACTATAGACTAGACTATAGACTAGACTATAGACTAGACTATAGACTAGACTAGACTAGACTATAGACTAGACTATAGACTAGACTATAGACTAGACTATAGACTAGACTATAGACTAGACTGTAGACTAGACTATAGACTAGACTATAGACTAGACTATAGACTAGACTATAGACTAGACTATAGACTAGACTATGGACTAGACTATAGACTAGACTATAGACTAGACTATAGACTAGATAGACTAGACTAGATATAGACTAGACTATAGACTAGACTATAAACTAGACTATAGACTAGACTATAGACTAGACTATAGACTAGACTATGGACTAGACTATAGACTAGACTATAGACTAGACTATAGACTAGACTATAGACTAGACTATAGACTAGACTATAGACTAGACTATAGACTAGATTATAGACTAGACTATAGACTAGACTATATACTAGATTATAGACTAGACTATAGACTAGACTATAGACTAGACTATATATAGACTAGACTATATATAGACTAGACTATAGACTAGACTATAGACTAGACTATAGACTAGACTATAGACTAGACTATAGACTAGACTATAGACTAGACTATAGACTAGACTATAGACTAGACTATAGACTAGACTATAGACTAGACTATAGACTAGAATATAGACTAGACGATAGACTAGACTATAGACTAGACTATAGACTAGACGATAGACTAGACTATAGACTAGACTATATACTAGACTATAGACTAGACTATAGACTAGACTATAGACTAGACTATAGACTAGACTATAGACTAGACTATAGACTAGACTATAGACTAGACTATAGACTAGACTATAGACTAGACTATAGACCAGACTCTAGACTAGACTATAATTGTTTTGAGAAGTTATTTTAAAAAGACTTAAGTTACAAACTTAATTTCAGTCGAATGTTGTTAGGCAAATCAAAAGACTTAAGCAGCAAACTTAAAGTTGCGTTGAATTAAAGAGATCAAAAGACGTTTCAAAAATAATAAATAAAAATTTGAAACTTCTGATGACAAATATTTTTTTTTTAGCCGTTAGTTTTTGTGTTTTGATCCCCAAAAAATGTTAGCAAACAATACAAAATTATAGTTGCCTTTACAAATCTTAATTGTTTTCTATTGTTTTGTTTGGTTATTATAGTTTATGTTTGTTTTCAAAATCTTTACATTTCGTAATATTTTTATTTGTTTTTCCAACTTTTATAACACCTACTAAATGAAACAGCCAGAAACACCAACAGATCGTAAAACTTTTTTATTGAAACTTAAAAACTTAAAAACAATAACATTAAAACTCTTTTACAATTTCATGCATCATAAAAGCATTGCACACCTTTAGCTTAAATTAATATAATTTTAATTAAAAAAAAAACTTATAATTAAAAAACTAACTTTAACTTTTTAACTAAGCACTTAAAAAATCTTTATTTTAATTTAAATTTTTTGTTTTCAGCACTTTTTCTCTAGCAAATCTAGTAGCGGCAAAAAGTAGTTAAATACAGACAAAATTTAAACACACACAACACAAACACTTTAATATGAAATACAAAACAATCCTTGAACACTTTTATCTTAAAAACTTACACAAACACACGTAAATAAATACTTTTTTTCATATAAAAAATCCTTTAAAAATATTTCCAAAAAATAACTTAACTAAAAACTTAAATTAATTATTTATTCGTTATTTTCTTCTTTTTTTCAATATTTTTTTCAAAACTAAATTTATCTTATTACAACGACCAACTATCTCCATCCTCTCTATAGCTGCGCACACCAGCAACTGTTAACAGCAATGGTTTAACAGTAACGCGAAGGCCTGTTTTAAGTGTGCGCCGACGTTTAATCAATTCATCTACTGCTGCTCCCTCAGCTAACTCAGCAGCAGCTGCTGTTAACAGCCAGCCACAACAAACCACAGCACCAACATTAACAACACACTTAGACTCATCTTCACCGATCAACGATGAATACATAACGACGACCTCGAAATTTAAACGTTTACGCACCAATCGACCACCATCTATAAATGCCGCTGCTGTTGATATAACAACCGATACGAATGCGGCAACATCGTTTAAAGCGAAGAAAAAATCAGCGGAAACATTATCGAATGATTTGAAATTGGCTTCATCATTGACGTCATCGTCATCTGCTGATAATGATATTGCAGCGAAGCAAACAGCAGCTTTAAGACGTAAATTTCAAGCCAGACGTTTAACAACATTGCCGGCTAGCAATACGAATGGCGATGGATCAGGTGAGAAAACAATAAGATGATTGTTAAATGTGTGTGTGTGTAGCAACATTGTTGAGAAACATGTTTGCCAACAGACTCTATTGATATTTAATATTGTACTTAGTTTCATGTAAATTATTTAAAATGTTAAATGTTTACAACGTATAGACTAGACTATTGTGTGGACTATCGACTGGAACTATATATATATAATCTCGACTAAAGGTTGGACTATAGACCCTATAGATTCGACTATAGACAACTCTATGGGTTTGACTACAGACTACCATATAGTCTATATTAGAGACTACCCTATAGTCTCTACTATAGACCACCCTATAGTATCGACTAGAGTAGATTATAGATTAGACTATAGTCTCGACTATAGACTGGGATATAGTCTTGGCTATTGACTAGACTATATGCTAGCGTATGATCTTGACGATAGACTAAACTCGGCTGTAGACTAGCCTATAGTAGCGGCTATAGACTCTACTATAAGCTAGCCTACTACATATGCTAGACTATATGGACTAGACTATAAACCAGCCTATAGTCTCGGATATAGACTTGACTATAAACTAGCTTATAGTCTCGACTATTGACTAGACTATAAACTAGCCTATAGTCTCGACTACAAACTAGGCTATAGTCTCGACTAAAGACTAGCCTAAAGTCTAGACTACAGACTATACTCACGACTATTAAGTAGATTGCAGTCTATTGTTTCGTCTAAAGAGTAGTCTATTGTTTCGACAAAAGACTATAATATAGTCTCGACTATTGAACTAGACTATAGACTTAACCATAGAATAGAGTATTGTCTCGACTATAGTATCGACGAAAGACTGTACTATAATTAGCCTATACTATCGACTATAGGCTAGACTATAAACTGATCTGTAGTCTCGACTATAGACTAGCCCATAGTATCCACTATAGACTACCATATAGTTCGACTATAGTATCGACTATAGACTGGTCTATACACTAGACTATAGACTAGACTATAGAATAGCATATAGTCTCAACTCTGAACTAAACCATAGAATATCTAGACAAGAATATAGTTACGACTATAGAATGACTGTAGTCTCGACTATTTATTAGGCTTTAGACAAGTCTATAGTCTGGATCATAGACTTGATTGCAGACAGGGCTGTAGAATGAACTATAGACTAGAGTGTAGACTAGACTAGACTATAGACCACACTAAAGACTATATTCCCGACTATGGACTAAATTATAGTCCCGAGTATACACCTGACTATAGTCTCAACTACATATTAGACTATAGTGTTGACTATATACTCTAAACTATAGTCTCTACTAAAGACTATAGTTCCCACTATAGACTGGATCATATTCCCGACTATAGACTTGATTATAGTCCCGACTATACACTAAATTATAGTCCTTAGTATACACCAGGCTATAGTCTCAATTACAGAGTTTACTATAGTTGTGGCTATAAACTAGACTACAGTTTCGACTATAAACTAAACTATAATCTCTACTATAGACTGAACTATATTGTCGCCCATAGACTTGACTGTATACTATACTATAGCCTCTACATGGACTAGACTATAGCCTCTACTATAGACTAGACTATAGCATCTACTATAGACTAGACTAAAGCCTTGACTATACCCTTTAGTATGGTGAAAATGTTCAGCAACAATGTTTACTAGGTAAATAGTCAAAACTATATTCCATAACTAATACTGTAGATAAATGAGATTGTCATCCAGAATCGCATTAACCATTACAATGTTGATTATGGATTAGACTATTTACCTAGTAAACATTGTTGCTGGCCAACATGTTGGTAAACAAGTTTTACTAAACGCTTTTGACTTATAATAATTGTTTTTTTTTTTAATTTTCCTTTCTTATTGTTGACATTTGTATATAAATTGTTTAGTTTAGCAAGTTTAGCAAGTCTGAGAAGTTTATTTATTTATCTGCTGCTGCTGTTTGTTTGTTTGTTTTTTCAAAGTTTGGTTTAGTTTAATTTCGCTGCTGCTGTTTGTATGCAAAACCACATTCCTAAATGTTGAGTTCAATTTATCTAGTAACTAGTAGTAGTCGTGTGCCGTTTACATTTTATATTTATTTTTGTACAAGTATAAACATTTCATTTTGTTTACGTTTTTTTCTTTACTTCATCAATGTTGGCGGTTATTTGTTTTATTTTTATAAAGTTGAATCATAAAAATTGTTCCTACACATAAATAACTATAACTGTAAATATTTATGTGGCATTTCATTGATTATGAATGACTTTAGTTATAGGTAGCACCGTGTTCAACACAGGTGACACACTTTTAAATGTCCTTCATGGCCGTTACATATTTTACACTTTATCTAGATAATATCCAGGGTCACAATTATTAGCAATTTATGAAATTTTATGTAAATGTCACAAAGACTTAGAATGCTTAACTAAGTGACATGTGGTAAACAACATAATTAATTTCAAAATTTATTATGCATTTTTTTCAAAATTTAAAGTACAAGAAAAATTTTAAATATTTATTTAAAGTTTTAAAATGATTATTCATACTTATACAAACAATAAGGTGGCTCATTTGCCATTAAATTTTAACATTTCTTTCATCATCTCTAAAAGAAAACACTTTTTTGCTTTGTAATATTGTAAATTTATGTAAATTAAAATAAGTGATGAATATAATATTTCCATAAACGTACAAGTAATTTGTTGTAATCAAATGACAAAAACAACTACATTTCCATATATGCTTATAGCAATATGTCTGCAGATGTAAGAACATTTAATGTTAAATGCCAATAAATTATGAAATACCAAAGTTAAAGGCAATTAAAACAACATGCTCATCACAAACTACGATTACCTGCATATTTGTTTTTTTTTTTTACATACAAACTTGTACACTTACATGGAATGTCATCCCATTATTGCTGCATGTCTCTAAGTACGCCAACAATAACAACTTCAAATACAGTCAAAGAAAAGATGTTAAATGTTGTAAAAACAGTAATTGTTCAAAGTTTTTTATTAAAAGAGTCTAGTTTATAGTCTATAGTCTATTCTAGTCTAGTCTATAGTCTAGTCTGTAGTCTAGTCTATAGTCTAGTCTGTAGTCTAGTCTATAGTCTAGTCTGTAGTCTAGTCTAGTCTATAGTCTAGTCTATAGTCTAGTCTATAGTCTAGTCTATAGTCTAGTCTATAGTCTAGTCTATAGTCTAGTCTATAGTCTAGTCTATAGTCTAGTCTATAGTCTAGTCTATAGTCTAGTCTATAGTCTAGTCTATAGTAGTCTATAGTCTAGTCTATAGTCTAGTCTATAGTCTAGTCTATAGTCTAGTCTATAGTCTAGTCTATAGTCTAGTCTATAGTCTAGTCTATAGTCTAGTCTATAGTCTAGTCTATAGTCTAGTCTATAGTCTAGTCTATAGTCTAGTCTATAGTCCTATAGTAGTCTATAGTCTAGTCTAGTCTAGTCTATAGTCTAGTCTATAGTCTAGTCTATAGTCTAGTCTATAGTCTAGTCTATAGTCTAGTCTATAGTCTAGTCTATAGTCTAGTCTATAGTCTAGTCTAGTCTTCTAGTCTATAGTCTAGTCGATAGTCCTAGTCTATAGTCCTAGTCTATAGTCTAGTCTATAGTCTAGTCTATAGTCTAGTCTATAGGCTAGTCTATTAGTCATTCTATAGTCCTATCTATAGTCTAGTCTATAGTCGAGTCTATAGTCCTAGTCTAGAGTCTAGTCTATAGTCTAGTCTATAGTCTAAGTCATAGTCTAGCTATGTCTTCTATAGTCTAGTCTATAGTCTAGGCTATAGTCTAGTCTATAGTCTAGTCTATAGTCTAGTCTATTAGTCTATTCAGTCTATAGCTATCTATAGTCTAGCTATAGTCTAGTCTATAGTCTTACTATAGTCTAGTCCCTATAGTCTAGTCTATAGTCTAGTCTATAGTCTAGTCTATAGTCTAGTCATATGATTCTATAGTCTAGTCTATAGTCTAGTCTATAGTCTAGTCTATAGTCTAGTCCTATAGTCTTACTAGTCTATAGTCCTAGTCTATAGTCTAGTCTATAGTCTAGTCCTATAGTCTAGTCCTATAGTCTAGGCCTATAGTCATCAAGTCTAGTCTATAGTCTAGTCTATAGTCTAGTCTATATCTAGTCTATAGTCGAGTCTATAGTCTAGTCTTATAGTCTAGGTCTATAGTCTAGTCTATAGTCTAGTCTATAGTAGTCTAGTCTATAGTCTAGTCTATAGTCTAGTCTATAGTCTAGTCTATAGTCTAGTCTATAGTCTAGTCTATAGTCTAGTCTATAGTCTAGTCTATGTAGTCTAGTCTATAGTCTAGTCTATAGTCTAGTCTATAGTCTAGTCTATAGTCTAGTCTATAGTCTAGTCTATAGTCTAGTCTATAGTCTAGTCTATAGTCTAGTCTATAGTCTAGTATAGTCTAGTCTATAGTCTAGTCTATAGTCTAGTCTATAGTCTAGTCTATAGTCTAGTCTATAGTCTAGTCTATAGTCTAGTCTAGTCTAGTCTATAGTCTAGTCTATAGTCTAGTCTATAGTCTAGTCTATAGTCTAGTCTATAGTCTAGTCTATAGTCTAGTCTATAGTCTAGTCTATAGTCAGTCTATAGTCTAGTCTATAGTCTAGTCTATAGTCTAGTCTATAGTCTAGTCTAGTCTAGTCTATAGTCTAGTCTATATATAGTCTAGTCTATAGTCTAGTCTATAGTCTAGTCTATAGTCTAGTCTATAGTCGGTCTATAGTCTAGTCTATAGTCTAGTCTATAGTCTATAGTCTAGTCTATAGTCTAGTCTATAGTCTAGTCTTAGTCTAGTCTATAGTCTAGTCTATAGTCTAGTCTATAGTCTAGTCTATAGTCTAGTCTATAGTCTAGTCTATAGTCTAGTCTATAGTCTAGTCTATAGTCTAGTCTATAGTCTAGTCTATAGTCTAGTCTGTAGTCTAGTCTATAGTCTAGTCTGTAGTCTAGTATAGTCTAGTCTATAGTCTAGTCTATAGTCTAGTCTGTAGTCTAGTCTATAGTCTAGTCTATAGTCTAGTCTATAGTCTAGTCTATAGTCTAGTCTAGTCTAGTCTAGTATAGTCTAGTCTAGTCTAGTCTATACTCTAGTCTATAGTCTAGTCTATAGTCTAGTCTATAGTCTAGTCTATAGTCTAGTCTATAGTCTAGTCTATAGTCTAGTCTATAGTCTAGTCTAGTCTAGTCTATAGTCTAGTCTATAGTCATCATAGTCTAGTCTGTAGTCTAGTCTATAGTCTAGTCTGTAGTCTAGTCTAGTCTAGTCGTAGTCTAGTCTAGTCTAGTCTAGTCTATAGTCTAGTCTGTAGTCTAGTCATAGTCTAGTCTATAGTAGTCTATAGTCTAGTCTAGTCTAGTCTATAGTCTAGTCTATAGTCTAGTCTATAGTCTAGTCTATAGTCTAGTCTATCGTCTATAGTCTAGTCTATAGTCTAGTCTATAGTCTAGTCTATAGTCTAGTCTATAGTCTAGTCTATAGTCTAGTCTATAGTCTAGTCTATAGTCTAGTCTATAGTCTAGTCTATAGTCTAGTCTATAGTCTAGTCTATAGTCTAGTCTATAGTCTAGTCTATAGTCTAGTCTACAGTCTAGTCTATAGTCTAGTCTATAGTCTAGTCTATAGTCTAGTCTATAGTCTAGTCTATAGTCTAGTCTATAGTCTAGTCTATAGTCTAGTCTATAGTCTAGTCTATAGTCTAGTCTATAGTCTAGTCTATAGTCTAGTCTATAGTCTAGTCTATAGTCTAGTCTATAGTCTAGTCTATAGTCTAGTCTATAGTCTAGTCTATAGTCTAGTCTATAGTCTAGTCTATAGTCTAGTCTATAGTCTAGTCTATAGTCTAGTCTATAGTCTAGTCTATAGTCTAGTCTATAGTCTAGTCTATAGTCTAGTCTATAGTCTAGTCTATAGTCTAGTCTATAGTCTAGTCTATAGTCTAGTCTAGTCTATAGTCTAGTATATAGTCTAGTCTATAGTCTAGTCTATAGTCTAGTCTATAGTCTAGTCTATAGTCTAGTCTATAGTCTAGTCTATAGTCTAGTCTAGTCTATAGTCTAGTCTATAGTCTAGTCTATAGTCTAGTCTAGTCTATAGTCTAGTCTATAGTCTAGTCTATAGTCTAGTCTATAGTCTAGTCTATAGTCTAGTCTATAGTCTAGTCTATAGTCTAGTCTATAGTCTAGTCTATAGTCTAGTCTATAGTCTAGTCTATAGTCTAGTCTATAGTCTAGTCTATAGTCTAGTCTAGTCTATAGTCTAGTCTATAGTCTAGTCTATAGTCTAGTCTATAGTCTAGTCTATAGTCTAGTCTATAGTCTAGTCTATAGTCTAGTCTATAGTCTAGTCTATAGTCTAGTCTATAGTCTAGTCTATAGTCTAGTCTATATCTATAGTCTAGTCCAACGATTCCCAAATGGGGGTCCGCGGACCCCTAGTGGTCCGTAGTAAAATCCTAGGGTGTCCGCGAAGACGAACGAAAAAAACCATGAATAAACAATATTCTGCTTTTATATGTATATACAAATATCTCCAATTTTTGTCCAATAATCCCAAACTTTTTGGTGACTTTTTGAATTTTATTTTTTCGGTTGTTTATCAGAAAGAAGCTAGGCCCTACAAATTTATTGTATAACTTTTAAGGTATTTTCAGACTACAATACTGAGTATTAATACTTGTCAAGAATATTTGTATCATAATACAATTTACTAGTCTAAATATAATTTGTAATTTGATTTTCAAAAATATTACTGATTTTTTGGCATACGGTCGGTATTCATAAATTTTTTAAAACAATTCAAAAACTTTTTATTTTCAAACGTATTCGGTATGTATTTTATAAATACAATAAAAAACAAACAAAAAGTGTAAAATACATTAAAAATAAGAACGAAAAGTGCATAAATAATTGAAAATTGGATAAAAAATATTACAAATGTTATAGTGTAAACATAAAATGTATTTTTCGGATTGATTTTTTGAAAATGCGAATTATTTTCATAATATTTTTAATTTGAAGTGTGTTAATACTCAGTATTGTAGTCTGAAAATACCTTTATAAAGTAAAGTACTGCGTGATTTGTAATTTTTATTTCCTGTATATGTACTGAAATAATGGTTTTTATTTCAGACAAATAATACTCTGCCTTACAATTAAATTAGGGATACAGGTATTCCGGAGTATGAAGTTCAATTCAAAGACAGGCTTATTACAGATTTAAGATTATCAAATTGTAAGCAAAATTATATATTTCCAAAACAGAGGTGACTCTTTATGCATCTCTTTATAAATATTCCAATCCGATGTGATACACAGATTTTAACTTGATTTTGTCGACCAATACATATTATTAAATTAACATCAGAAAATCCATAGCGTTTCGCGTAAATATGTAGCCAAAAACCATGAAGTAAAATAATTCGTTGGTATTTTAAAATTCAAATTTAAGTTCCAAATTCACAGTACTTTAACAAAGAGTTCAAATCATATATTATGCGGATAACGCATTCCGCAACAACATAGAAGAAGTCCAACTTTCTTATATTATTTTCCCGAAAACTTAGCTCACTTACTCAGTTCACCCTTTGCAATCGCAACAAATTTTTGAAACGAGACTCCTTAAGCACATGCGACAATATTTGATAAAGAAACCTTTTCGCTACCTTGAAGAAAAATGAACATGAAAGATCTCACGATCATAAAATTAAACATCATGTTAACATATCAACAAAGAAGTCATTCTATCTTCAAAACATGCAATTGAAAACCTATCTGAAATATTATATATTCTCAATGTACGGGAATATTTTATAGATATGACATCTCTACATTTATTAGACCTAGGGATTAATGAACTAGGTCAATTTTCGGATGGACAATTATTTAGAACAATAAGATATCAAAATATGTATGGGGGTCCGCGAAATTAAATAAGTTCTTCAAGGGGTCCGCGAAGTAAAAATCTGTGGGAACCGCTGGTCTAGTCTATGGTATAGTCTAGTCTAGTCTATGGTCAAATCTATATAAAGTGTGTCCATCACATGCATTGCCCATCGTTTTTAAGTGTTCTTTTAAATAATAAATTTCTAATAAATTCCATCTCTTCAACAGCCATCATTTATTCATTCAATTACTGTCAACAATTTACAAGTGTAGAAAACCCTCTGACATTAAAAGTGTTATTTTCTTCTTTATACTCGTACTCGGTACATAAATTTAAATTTAAAACATTTTTATAGATTTTTATAATGAAATTACTTGTACTAGCCATACGAGGCAAAACCATAACTATAGATGCTTACAACATACTCCAATACACATTTAACATTTACTTGCAACTACATACCGTTTGGTTTTATTGTTTCTTTCGTCTTTTTTTGTTGTAGCCACTGAACCACCACGTACACAAAATCCTTTATTTAAGAGACGCTACAGTTTGACCACATACTCGCCACTGTCTGGAAAAACTGGGCAACAATCAAAGGTGACGTCGACAGCAGTAGGAACGACGACAACAACAGCAGCATCATCATCATCATCATCGACATCAACATTGCGCTCGGCTATAGATAGTTTGACAACAACAGTTTATGTTGATGGTTTAGAAAATGATGAGGACACAGATCAAGTGGCAAAATCTAGCATCCATACAAGTCGTTTCAATCAAATTAATGGCAGACTGCACATAGATGATGATGAGGAGGAGGAATTGGATGCTGGCATTGCTGGTGGTGTTGGTGATACGAGACATTTGGTCAATACTGTCAAACCCATAACAACGTTATCCACGGCAACCAGACAACCAGCATCTAGATATTTACAACAACTGTCGCCACAGCAACAACAGCAATACTCCAAATATAAGTTTGATGAGGTTTTAACCAGGCGCATGGATGGCACGGGAACTGTAATGAAAACATCAACCGGTAGCTCCACCACCACCACCGTTTCCACTAGCAGTAGCTCAACTTCCACACAAACTCCAGTAATTAAAAAACGTAAGACGGAAATTAGAAATTCCTACATTACAGTACAACATACTTTTTTAGTTTGATTACAAATTTCAACGGAAATTAATGTATTTGATGAATTTTTGTTATTTTTTTAAGGTAAAATGGTTATTAAGAGAAGACCACAGAAGACAACGCCCAGTTCCGAGGAATCAAAACGAAGAAGACCTCATAGGTATCAAGAACCATTCGAGAGAATAAACAGTAATCAATCGAAGGCAACAGTTAAGACATCAACACAACCGGGTAGAACTTATCGTCCCAATTTAGACTATGACTATTATGATGATGAGGATGTACGTTTAGTGGGCAATAAGAGTGATCAACAGGTGAGTTTGAATAATTTAACTTACAGCAGGGATGGGAAACCTACTTTTGAGTTCTATAGAAAATTTATAATATCGATAAATTTTCTATAGAAAATTAAATAAATTTTCTTTTCTATAGAAAATTTCTATTGTCGATAAATTTTCTATAGAAAATTTCTATTGTTGATAAATTGTCTATAGAAAGTGTCTGTTGTCGATAAATTTTGTATAGATAATTTGTATTGTCGATAAATTTTCTATAGATAATTTGTATTGTCGATAAATTTTCTATAGATAATTTCTATTGTCGATAAATTTTCTATAGAAAATTTCTATTGTCGATAAATTTTCTATTGTCGATAAATTTTCTATAGAAAATTTCTATTGTCGATAAATTTTCTATTGTCGATAATTTTTCTATAGAAAATTTCTATTGTCGATAAATTTTCTATAGAAAATTTCTATTGTCGATAAATTTTCTATAGAAAATTTCTATTGTCGATAAATTTTCTATAGAAAATTTCTATTGTCGATAAATTTTCTATAGAAAATTTCTATTGCCGATAAATTTTCTATAGAAAATTTCTATTGTCGATAAATTTTCGATAGAAAATTTCTATTGTCGATAAATTTTCTATAGAAAATTTCTATTGTCGATAAATTTTCTATAGAAAATTTCTATTGTCGATAAATTTTCTATAGAAAATTTCTATTGTCGATAAATTTTCTATAGAAAATTTCAATTGCCGATAAATTTTCTATAGAAAATTTGTATTGTCAATAAATTTAGTTAGTTAGTCAGTAAGTTAGTCAATTAGTTAGTTAGTTAGTTAGTTAGTTAGGTAGTTAGTTAGGTAGTTAGTTAGTTAGTTAGTTAGTTAGTTGGTGTTAGTTGTTAGTTAGTTAGTTAGTTAGTTAGTTAGTTAGTTAGTTAGTTAGTTAGTCAGGTAGTTAGTTAGTTAGTTATTTAGTTAGTTGTTAGTTAGTTAGTTAGTTAGTTAGTTAGTTAGTAGTTAGTTAGTTAGTTAGTTAGTTAGTTAGTAGTTAGTTAGTTAGTTAGTTAGTTAGTTAGTTAGTTAGTTAGTTAGTTAGTTGTAGTTAGTAGTTAGTTAGTTAGTTAGTAGTTAGTTAGTTAGTTAGTAGTTAGTTAGTTCGTTAGGTAGTTAGTTAGTTAGTTAGTTAGTTAGTTAGTTTAGTTAGTTAGTTAGTTAGTTAGTTAGTTAGTTAGTTAGTTGGTAGTTAGTTAGTTAGTTAGTTAGTTAGTTAGTTAGTTAGTTAGTTTAGTTAGTTAGTTAGTTAGTTAGTTAGTAGTTAGTTAGTTAGTTAGTTAGTTAGTTAGTTAGTTAGTTAGTTAGTTAGTTAGTTAGTTAGTTAGTTAGTTAGTTAGTTAGTTAGTAGTTAGTTAGTTAGTTAGTTAGTTAGTTAGTTAGTTAGTAGTTAGTTAGTTAGTTAGTTAGTTAGTTAGTTAGTTAGTAGTTAGTTAGTAGTAGTAGTAGTTAGTTAGTTAGTTAGTTAGTTTAGTTAGTTAGTAGTTAGTTGGTTAGTTAGTTAGTTAGTTAGTAGTTAGTTAGTTAGTTAGTAGTTAGTTAGTTAGTTAGTTAGTTAGTTAGTTAGTAGTTAGTTAGTAGTAGTTAGTTAGTTAGTTGGTTAGTTAGTTAGTAGTTAGTTAGTTAGTTAGTTAGTTAGTTAGTTAGTTAGTAGTTAGTTAGTTAGTAGTTAGTTAGTTAGTTAGTTAGTTAGTTAGTTAGTTAGTTAGTTAGTGGTTAGGTTAGTTAGTTAGTTAGTTAGTAGTTAGTTAGTTAGTTAGTTAGTTAGTAGTTAGTAGTAGTTAGTTAGTTAGTTAGTTAGTTAGTTAGTTGGTTAGTTAGTTAGTCAGGTAGTTAGTTAGTTAGTTAGTTAGTAGTTAGTTAGTAGTAGTTAGTTAGTTAGTTAGTTAGTTAGTTAGTTAGTTAGTTAGTTAGTTAGTTAGTTAGTAGGTTAGTTAGTTAGTTAGTTAGTAGTTAGTTAGTTAGTTAGTTAGTTAGTTAGGTTAGTTAGTTAGTTAGTTAGTAGTTAGTTAGTTAGTTAGTTAGTTAGTTAGTTAGTTAGTTAGTTAGTTAGTTAGTTAGTTAGTTAGTTAGTTAGTTAGTATTAGTTAGTTAGTTAGTTAGTTAGTTAGTTAGTTAGTTAGTTAGTTAGTTAGTTAGTAGTAGTAGTTAGTTAGTTAGTTAGTAGTTAGTTAGTTAGTAGTTAGTTAGTTAGTTAGTTAGTTAGTTAGTTAGTTAGTTAGTTAGTTAGTTAGTTAGTTAGTTAGTTAGTTAGTTAGTTAGTTAGTTAGTTAGTTAGTTAGTAGTTAGTTAGTTAGTTAGTTAGTTAGTTAGTTAGTTAGTTAGTTAGTTAGTTAGTTAGTTAGTTAGTTAGTTAGTTAGTTAGTTAGTTAGTTAGTTAGTTAGTTAGTGTTAGTTAGTTAGTTAGTTAGTTAGTTAGTTAGTTAGGTAGTTAGTAGTTAGTTAGTTAGTTAGTTAGTTAGTTAGTTAGTTAGTTAGTTAGTTAGTTAGTTAGTTAGTTAGTTAGTAGTAGTTAGTTAGTTAGTAGTTAGTTAGTTAGTTAGTTAGTTAGTAGTTAGTTAGTTAGTTAGTTAGTTAGTTAGTTAGTTAGTAGTTAGTTAGTTAGTTGTTAGTTAGTTAGTTAGTTAGTTAGTTAGTTAGTTAGTTAGTTAGTTAGTTAGTTAGTTAGTTAGTAGTTAGTTAGTTAGTTAGTTAGTTAGTTAGTAGTTAGTTAGTTAGTTAGTTAGTTAGTTAGTTAGTTAGTTAGTTAGTTAGTTAGTTAGTTAGTAGTTAGTTAGTTAGTTAGTTAGTAGTAGTTAGTTAGTTAGTTAGTTAGTTAGTTAGTTAGTTAGTTAGTAGTTAGTTAGTTAGTTAGTTAGTTAGTTAGTTAGTTAGTTAGTTAGTTAGTTAGTTAGTTAGTTAGTTAGTTAGTTAGTTAGTTAGTTAGTTAGTTAGTTAGTTAGTTAGTTAGTTAGTTAGTTAGTTAGTTAGTTAGTTAGTTAGTTAGTTAGTTAGTTAGTTAGTTAGTTAGTTAGTTAGTTAGTTAGTTAGTTAGTTAGTTAGTTAGTTAGTTAGTTAGTAGTTAGTTAGTTAGTTAGTAGTTAGTTAGTTAGTTAGTTAGTTAGTTAGTTAGTTAGTTAGTTAGTTAGTTAGTTAGTTAGTTAGTTAGTTAGTTAGTTAGTTAGTTAGTTAGTTAGTTAGTTAGTTAGTTAGTTAGTTAGTTAGTTAGTTAGTTAGTTAGTTAGTTAGTTAGTTAGTTAGTAGTTAGTTAGTTAGTTAGTTAGTTAGTTAGTTAGTTAGTTAGTTAGTTAGTTAGTTAGTTAGTTAGTTAGTTAGTTAGTTAGTTAGTTAGTTAGTTAGTTAGTTAGTTAGTTAGTTAGTTAGTTAGTTAGTTAGTTAGTTAGTTAGTTAGTTAGTTAGTTAGTTAGTTAGTTAGTTAGTTAGTTAGTTAGTTAGTTAGTTAGTTAGTTAGTTAGTTAGTTAGTTAGTTAGTTAGTTAGTTAGTTAGTTAGTAGTTAGTTAGTTAGTTAGTTAGTTAGTTAGTTAGTTAGTAGTTAGTTAGTTAGTTAGTTAGTTAGTAGTTAGTAGTTAGTTAGTTAGTTAGTTAGTTAGTTAGTTAGTTAGTTAGTTAGTTAGTTAGTTAGTTAGTTAGTTAGTTAGTTAGTTAGTTAGTTAGTTAGTTAGTTAGTTAGTTAGTTAGTTAGTTAGTTAGTTAGTTAGTTAGTTAGTTAGTTAGTTAGTTAGTTAGTTAGTTAGTTAGTTAGTTAGTTAGTTAGTTAGTTAGTTAGTTAGTTAGTTAGTTAGTTAGTTAGTTAGTTAGTTAGTTAGTTAGTTAGTTAGTTAGTTAGTTAGTTAGTTAGTTAGTTAGTTAGTTAGTTAGTTAGTTAGTTAGTTAGTTAGTAGTTAGTTAGTTAGTTAGTTAGTTAGTTAGTTAGTTAGTTAGTTAGTTAGTTAGTTAGTTAGTTAGTTAGTTAGTTAGTTAGTTAGTTAGTTAGTTAGTTAGTTAGTTAGTTAGTTAGTTAGTTAGTTAGTTAGTTAGTTAGTTAGTTAGTTAGTTAGTTAGTTAGTTAGTTAGTTAGTTAGTTAGTTAGTTAGTAGTTAGTTAGTTAGTTAGTTAGTTAGTTAGTTAGTTAGTTAGTTAGTTAGTTAGTTAGTTAGTTAGTTAGTTAGTTAGTTAGTTAGTTAGTTAGTTAGTTAGTTAGTTAGTTAGTTAGTTAGTTAGTTAGTTAGTTAGTTAGTTAGTTAGTTAGTTAGTTAGTTAGTTAGTAGTTAGTTAGTTAGTTAGTTAGTTAGTTAGTTAGTTAGTTAGTTAGTTAGTTAGTTAGTTAGTTAGTTAGTTAGTTAGTTAGTTAGTTAGTTAGTTAGTTAGTTAGTTAGTTAGTTAGTTAGTTAGTTAGTTAGTTAGTTAGTTAGTTAGTTAGTTAGTAGTTAGTTAGTTAGTTAGTTAGTTAGTTAGTTAGTTAGTTAGTTAGTTAGTTAGTTAGTTAGTTAGTTAGTTAGTTAGTTAGTTAGTTAGTTAGTTAGTTAGTTAGTTAGTTAGTTAGTTAGTTAGTTAGTTAGTTAGTTAGTTAGTTAGTTAGTTAGTTAGTAGTTAGTTAGTTAGTTAGTTAGTAGTTAGTTAGTTAGTTAGTTAGTTAGTTAGTTAGTAGTTAGTTAGTTAGTTAGTTAGTTAGTTAGTTAGTTAGTTAGTTAGTTAGTTAGTTAGTTAGTTAGTTAGTAGTTAGTTAGTTAGTTAGTTAGTTAGTTAGTTAGTTAGTTAGTTAGTTAGTTAGTTAGTTAGTTAGTTAGTTAGTTAGTTAGTTAGTTAGTTAGTTAGTTAGTTAGTTAGTTAGTTAGTTAGTTAGTTAGTTAGTTAGTTAGTTAGTTAGTTAGTTAGTTAGTTAGTTAGTTAGTTAGTTAGTTAGTTAGTTAGTTAGTTAGTTAGTTAGTTAGTTAGTTAGTTAGTTAGTAGTTAGTTAGTTAGTTAGTTAGTTAGTTAGTTAGTTAGTTAGTTAGTTAGTTAGTTAGTTAGTTAGTTAGTTAGTTAGTTAGTTAGTTAGTTAGTTAGTTAGTTAGTTAGTTAGTTAGTTAGTTAGTTAGTTAGTTAGTTAGTTAGTTAGTTAGTTAGTTAGTTAGTTAGTTAGTTAGTTAGTTAGTTAGTTAGTTAGTTAGTTAGTTAGTTAGTTAGTTAGTTAGTTAGTTAGTTAGTTAGTTAGTTAGTTAGTTAGTTAGTTAGTTAGTTAGTTAGTTAGTTAGTTAGTTAGTTAGTTAGTTAGTTAGTTAGTTAGTTAGTTAGTTAGTTAGTTAGTTAGTTAGTTAGTTAGTTAGTTAGTTAGTAGTTAGTTAGTTAGTTAGTTAGTTAGTTAGTTAGTTAGTTAGTTAGTTAGTTAGTTAGTTAGTTAGTTAGTTAGTTAGTTAGTTAGTTAGTTAGTTAGTTAGTTAGTTAGTTAGTTAGTTAGTTAGTTAGTTAGTTAGTTAGTTAGTAGTTAGTTAGTTAGTTAGTTAGTTAGTTAGTTAGTTAGTTAGTTAGTTAGTTAGTTAGTTAGTTAGTTAGTTAGTTAGTTAGTTAGTTAGTTAGTTAGTTAGTTAGTTAGTTAGTTAGTTAGTTAGTTAGTTAGTTAGTTAGTTAGTTAGTTAGTTAGTTAGTTAGTTAGTTAGTTAGTTAGTAGTTAGTAGTAGTTAGTTAGTTAGTTAGTTAGTTAGTTAGTTAGTTAGTTAGTTAGTTAGTTAGTTAGTTAGTTAGTTAGTTAGTTAGTTAGTTAGTTAGTAGTTAGTTAGTTAGTTAGTAGTTAGTTAGTTAGTTAGTTAGTTAGTTAGTTAGTTAGTTAGTTAGTTAGTTAGTTAGTTAGTTAGTTAGTTAGTTAGTTAGTTAGTTAGTTAGTTAGTTAGTTAGTTAGTTAGTTAGTAGTTAGTTAGTTAGTTAGTTAGTTAGTTTAGTTGTTAGTATTCAATATATTGTTATAACTCTAAACTCTATTCGTTATTTCATTTAACATTAACTTCCTTTCCCTTCCACAGCTTAAAGTAATTCTACATGGTGGCGGCATAATTGAATGCTTAGACCAGGGTAACTTCCCCCATCCGTTATCGTGTCGCAAATTCATTTCCTGTGCCAAATTTGAAACTGGCGGTGTTGTTGGCTGGGAATATACATGTCCCAAGGGTTTGAGTTATGATCCTGTGGGTGGTATGTGTAATTGGGCAGCAGGTTTGGGTTGTAAAGAGTAAAACAACAGCAACAACAACTTTTTAGAAATAAAACATTAACGCAACAAATGCCTAAAAACTACTGCCAGAAGTACTTTACGTACTCAATAAACAATTTCTATATTCAACGACTCAACGACTTTTTTGTATTCAAAAGAAAAGCAAGAAATTAAATTATATAAAAAATTCAAACTAAAATTAAGTTGTTGTAATAATGTGCGAAATTAATCTGTAAAATTAACAGAATATGTAACAATTGACTGATTTCATTGTGAACTTTGTGTTTTTGGATTAATAATTGGAATTTATAAAATTCTTTTATTTTCTTTTTATTTTATTTAAATTAATTATTATTTTTTTCGTTTTTTATATTTTGCTTTTGAAGTGTGATTAGCATATTTAATATATATTTTATATTTTAATTATTTTATGTTTATTATATTGTTTATACTTGTAATTGTATGTACAATTAAGTTTATTTTTTAAGCGCGTTTTAATGTTTAAGTTTAAATTATGCATTTCTTTCCCATTCCTGTGAAAAAAATTTCAAAATTTTTTTTTTATTTTATTCTGCCATTCATTATTATAAATTCTCATACTTAATTAAAAATATCAATTTACTATTTAATTAGAAATTAAAGAACAAGTAAAACAAAATGAATTAAATAAATAAATACTCGTATGTATAATTAGAAATATAAATGGCGTTGTGTTTAACAATTAATTAACTGAAATAGTGAATGCTTTTCTGTGGGAGACGTCCTTGACCTTTGAGTTCATCTATTAGTGAAAGGAACTCTTAAGTATATTATAAAGATTTCTTTTGAAAATCATTAGAAAATAAAAACCAAATATCTTTGTATATTATCTCATTAACTCTGCAATTGTGTTTTATTTCAGATCGGATTATCTCAATTCTTAATAAAAAAGATTCTTAGTCTAAAGCTTAATTGGGAAAGCATTTAATTTTTCACCAACTACCTAAAGTTCAGACATTTTCCATGGCTTATGGATACTATGATAGTTCTGCTGCCTTTGAGCTGGTGTTTTACGACCGAAGGGACTCTTGGAATTAACTTCAAGAATAAAATCACCTTCAACATCATAGTCGGTATCGTAACCCATATAAACACGTTTTCCATTACCGCTTCGTTCTTTGTATTGCCTGAGAGAAGTGGCGCCAACAGCCGGGAAGTTACGTTCATTACCAGGTATAACAGATTCAGCGTAATAACGTATAGAACGCATGGAGGCTTCAACAAGACTATCAGCACCAGGAACTCCTTCATTAGGACCATTAGGATAGAAATCAACATCACCGCTACGAGTAGGTGTACCCATACCATAGGCAGAGGTATGAATGACAACGACAAATTCAGCATCACCACGAGCTAAACCCAATAAAGTATTCCTAGGTTGAGCATAGATGTTAGTGGGGTCCAAACCAGTGATACGACGTAATAGATGACCAGTTTCCCGGGTAAATTGACGACCAGCTACACCAGCAACATGGGCCGCCATATTAGTAGCAATCAAGTGAACAATTTCGAAAGGAACATTAGCCTTATCGACAAATTGCACTAAAACATCACCAATTACCATGCCAGTCTTTTCCACATCCATTGCAATGTAGTCTTTCATTAAATACATATATATGTATAACGTGACCAACTATTTGATCGCTAAAAGCAGAACCCAATTGTTTTAAATGCTAGATAACGAAATTATTACTTAGATCAAGTAGTTTCTGAAGAGTATGCTGTCGAATCTATAATTGATACTACAGAGTGATCTATAGTCGAAACTATAATTTGGTTTATAATCGAGGCTATATAATCGACTATAGGCAGTCGAGACTATAGTCTGATTCATAGTCGATAGTATAATTTGCTCTAAGTTGAGATCATATTCTGGTCTATATTCCAATCTTTTGTATAGGTAGTAATCCAGACTATAGTTTGAACTATAGTCGAGAATATAGTCAGATCCCTAGACTATAATCTGATTCATAGTCGGGAATGTAATCTTCTCTATAGTCGGGATTATAGTCTGGTCTATATTCGACACTGTTGTATAGTTTATAGCTCAGAATATAGTCCACTCCTATAGTCTGGTAGTTGGACAATAAGTTGGTTGTTGTAGTAACAGATTGCCTGTAACTGGATGTTCGTCGCTGGGGAAAAAACTTTCGGTTGATACAGCTGTTGCTGAGTTGACAATCGGGTCGTTCCGCAACGGAGATCCAATTGTCGTGGGAACGCTATAATTTGGTCTATAGTGTTGGTTATATTCGTGTCTCTAGTAGTTTTGGTTTGGGCCAATTATGGACCAAACTATACAGTGATAAACTTCTTCGATACTGTATATTGATATATAATCGAGGCTATACTGTTGCCTATAGTCAAGTCGAGAATATAGTCAGAGCTCTAGTCTATACGGTCTATTGTCTTCTTCATAGTCGGGAATATAATCTGCTCTATAGTCGGGATTATAGTTTGGTTTATATTCGACATTATTGTATAGTTTATAGTTCAGAATATAGTCTACTCCTATAGTCGGTACTAAAGTCGAGTTTATAATCTGATCTCTAGTCTCGTTTGTAATCTAGTAGTTGGTGTATAGTTTGGTCTATAGTATTGGTTATATTCGTGTCTCTAGTGGTTTTTGGCTTGGGTCAATTATGGACCAAACTATACAGTGATGAACTTCATAGATCAAGTATTAATCTTAATACAATATCCTACACCACTATAGTAGGGACTGATATTTGTAACATCCAATTTTTTTAAATTTAAAACTATCTTTGTATAAAGAAGCAGAACTAAGTTTGGTCCCGTTTCAGTAGGGCCCTTCACAAAACAAACTTTGTAAATCATAACAATCGAATCAAAATGGCCTTTGTCGTTACTAAATCCCGTTAAAGTATAAAATTAAATCATATTTTCATTAGCAATATGTGTAATTGTGTTTTATTTTAAATCAGATCATTACTACTTAGAGTATATTAATAACAGAAAAACTTAATTATTTCATTTTTAGTAAAGTAATTCACTATCTGTATAAGATGTTAATAATCCTTAGACGACATTTTCCAGGGCTTATGGACACGATGATTTTGTTGCTTTTGAGCTGGGGTACTGCGACCAAAAGGACTCTTAGAATTAACTTGAAGTATAAAATCGCCTTCAGCATCAAAGTCGGTATTGATGCCCATATAAACACGTTTACCATTACCATTCTGTTCCTTGTACTGCTGAAGCGAAGTGGCACCAACAGCAGGGAAATTACGCTCATTACCGGGTACCACCGATTCAGCGAAATAACGTATCGAACGCATAGAGGCTTCAATGAGATTTTTAGCACCCGGAACACCTTCACTGGGACCATTGGGATAGAAGTCAACATCACCACAACGAGAAGCAGTTCCCAGGCCATAGGCCGAGGTATGAATAACATCGACGAATTCAGCATCACCACGAGCCAAACCCTTTAAAGCATTCTCACTTCTAGTATAGAGATTGGTGGGGTCTAAACCGGTAATACGACGCAATTGATGGCCAGTTTCACGGGTATATTGACGACCAACAGCACCAGCAACATGAGCAGCAATGTTAGCACCAATAACATGAATGATTTCGAAAGGAACATCAGCCTTATCCGTTAATTGCAACAAAATATCACCAATTTCTGCGCCAGTCTTTTCCACATCCAAAGAAACATATTGTTTCATGTTTTCGAAAATGTTGCCCAATTCAATAACAACTAAAGTGCCTGAAGGTTTATTCGAATTTCTGTTCAATTCATCTTCTTCACTGGAGCTGGGACTTGTCTTTTCGGAAGAATCATCTTCGTATTTGACACTGTTGCGTTTGGGAGCCTCACCATTATAACGTTGCATATAAGCTTGCACCAAGTTACGAATGGCTTTCTTTACGGTTTCAGTTGTATCGGGTAGACCGGTAATGAAGATTGTAACTTCTTGGTTGCCGAATTCCTTATCTTCTTGGGCAATTTTGGGTAATTGACTTAATTTAAATTTAATTTTCTTATTGTCGGCTGTAACAAGATAGGCTGGAATCTCACTAGTCTTTGGCACATAATTAGATTCAAGAGCCTGACTAGCCATACTAAGGTAAACTAGAAATGAACAATATATATAAAATCTGACAAGAATATCTTTTCCCAAAGCAATACTACTTACACATTTTGTTTAACATATCGGCACCTTCTTGCACCGACAATGATTCTATCTTTTCCAGGGTGACTTCAGTTGTAGAGGGCAATGATTCCAATTCTAATGCTGTCAACCAATCGGCCGGTCTCGTCGAACTTTTCTTTACGGAGTTACTGTTGCCTTGCCATCTCAATGGACCACTGCCCGATGATGTATTGGCGGAAGCAAAGGCAAATATGCCTATGAGAAGACAAACGGTTCTTATAGGATTCATAATCTATTAGTCCTTAGCACTTTTCTTAAACAGTCGGATTAACACGTTAAACTAAATGAATTTGCTTTGATCAATGTTATTGAACTGATCATTTGTTCCAGTTTAACATGGGTTTTATATATGCACATGGTTCCGTTATCATTTAAAATTTTGCTGGCTTGAATTAAGATTACAAAAATCTTAATTTTGTTTACTAATGCAGTTTAAAAATCTTTATCTATCTATTCTACATGCACTGATATGATGTTAAAGTCAGGCATGCTCGATCATATGACACCCTACAACATTGGTTTTTGAAAGCTATAATCGACGGAATAAGCATTCAGAAATGGATACACAAAAAATTTTCAAAAAGGGGAATTTTTATTAAACCTTACATTATGAATTCTATATACAGGTAACTCCCGGTATAACGAGTGATATACTGTCAGGCCCTATCACTAAATCGTTTGGTCAAGGTGTTTTAAACTAGTTCTTAAAGCTGAGCGTGTAGCAGATTCTACAGTGGATTTATTAGAAACACCCTGGTGCTCATAGAGGCCACACTGCTCGAGCCATTGCGTCTGCCAGTTTATGGTTTGCCTGAGGCATAAGATACAAGGTAAAATATTATAAAATTATAATTTTCAGAAAAATTTCATTCTTTCTTAACTTTTTTAGTTCTTGGTTCTTTAAAGCCTGGATTATTTGTTGTTGTGGCTGAGGATGCTGAGGCAGCATCTATCATCATGATGGGATCACCACCAGGCTTTTTAAACATCATGTAAAGCCAATAGAAATAGAGTTATACTTAAGATAATAACAATAATCTGAAATAAAGATACAAATAAACAAAATTTTTTAGTCTTTTATTCTGTTAAAGATCTGAAACAATTCCACTTCAGTTTCAGATCAATTCTCTTCAGTTCTAGTTGGACCTAGACCCATACTACAACAAAATTTCAAATTTATTTTTTGTTTGCTTTAAACTCGAAAACTACTGGCCGAATCTGGCTGGAAACTCACCTTTCTGATAAATTCCCATGCTGAATCCGAAAATGGACTCAGAATGGACCTAGGTCCATTATTTCATCAATATTCCCGAATTTTTTTTTATTTTGAACAATTTGTACTATTATTTCGGGATCTTAAGGCCGAGGAAAATGGAAATTTGTCATTTAAGACTAAAATCTATGCTGAATCCGAAAATGGTTTCAGAATTGAGCTAGGTCCAATATTTCATAAAAATTTCAGCACAGAAATTTTAAACCAAATATCCCACAAAATTTAATTTCAAATCAAGATTTTTCTGATATGTGAGGTTCTTGTCATGGTTAGCAAATTTTTTCCAATAGTCAAGACAAGAACCACCAAATGTAGAAGAAATTTGGAGTTGACATAAAATTTTGCAGTAAAATCTGTCTGAAATTTTGTTCGGAAATTTTAATGTAATATTAGTCTCAGGTTCACTATGGGTTCATTTTCGAATTCAGTTTAAGTACTAATCTTGAATGTCAAATTTTTGCAGCTCTAGACACAATATCACAAATTGCTTAAAATAAAAAATTTTCGGGAATTTTGATGAAATATTGATCCTAGGTCCATTCTGAGTGCATTTCTGGATTCAGCATGGGATTTTACCAGAAGTTTTCAGCCAGTAGTTTCCGAGTTTGTAGCAAAAATAAAAAAAATCAGAAATTTTTATGAATGTTGGACCTAGGATCCATACTACAACAAAATTTCAAATTTATTTTTTGGTTTGCTTTAAACTCGAAAACTACTGGCCGAATGTTGCTGGAAACTCACCTTTCTGGTAAATTCCCATGCTGAATCCGAAAATGGACTCAGAATGGACCTAGGTCCATTGTTTCATCAAAATTCCCGAAATTTTTTTATGTTGAACAATTTGTATTATTATTTCGGGATCTTAAGGCCGAGGGAAACGAAAATTTCTCATTTAAGACTAAAATCTATGCTGAATCCGAAAATGGTTTCAGAATTGAGCTAGGTCCAATATTTCATAAAAATTTCAGCACAGAAATTTTTAACCAAATATCCCACAAAATTTAATTTTAACTCAAGATTTTTCTGATATGTGAGGTTCTTGTCTTGGTTAGAATGTTTTTCAATAGTCAAGACAAGAACCCCCAAATGTAGAGGAAATTATGAGATGACATAAAATTTTGTAGTAAAATCTGTCTGAAATTTTGTTCGGATATTTTTATGAAATATTGGTCTCAGGTCCACTCTGGGTTCATTTTCGGATTCAGTTCAAGTACTAATCTGGAATGTCAAATTTTTGCAGCTCTAGACCTCAAGACCTCGATATATTACCACAAATTGGTTAAAATAAAAAATGCTCGGGAATTTGTCGTTTCCGAGTTTGAAGCTAAAACAAAAAAAATCAGAAATTTTGATGAATGTTGGACCTAGAACCCATACTACCACAAAATTTCAAATTTATTTTTTGGTTTGCTTTAAACTCGAAAACTACTGGCCGAATCTGGCTGGAAACTCACCTTTCTGATAATTTCTCATGCTGAATCCGAATATGACCTCAGAATGGACCTAGGTCCATTGTTTCATCAAAATTCCCGAAATTTTTTTATTTTGAACAATTTGTACTATTATTTCGGAAATTTGTCATTTAAGACTAAAATCTATGCTGAATCTGAAAATGGTTTCAGAATTGAGCTAGGTCCAATATTTCATAAAAATTTCAGCACAGACATTTTGTACAAAATATCCCACGAAATATCATTTCACATCAAGATTTTTCTGATATGTGAGGTTCTTGTCTTGGTTAGCAGATTTTTTCCAATAGTCAAGTCAAGAACCACCAAATGTAGAAGAAATTTGGAGTTGACATAAAATTTTGTAAAAATATCTGTCTGAAATTTTGTTCGGATATTTTTATGAAATATTGGTCTCAGGCCCACTATAGTATCATTTTCCGAATCAGCTTAAGTATTAATCTTGAATATCAAATTTTTGCAGCTCTAGACCTCAAGACCTCGATATAATATCACAAATTGTTTAAAATAAAAAATTTTCGGGAATTTTGATGAAATATTGGTTCCAGGTCCATTCTGAGAACAAAATTTTTATGAAATATTGGTCTCAGGCCCACTATGGGTTCATTTTCGGATTCAGCTTTAGTATTAATCTTGAATATCAAATTTTTGCAGCTCTAGACCTCAAGACCTCGATATAATATCACAAATTGGTTAAAATAAAAAATGCTCGGGAATTTTGATGAAATATTGGTCCCATCTGATCCAGCATGGGATTTTACCAGAATGAGTTTCCAGCCAGATTCGGCCAGTATGGTTAATGATTAATTTTCGGATTCAGTTTAAGTATTAATCTTGAATATCAAATATTTGCAGCTCTAGAACTCAAGACCTCGATATAATATCACAAATTGGTTAAAATAAAAAATTTTCGGAAATTTTCGTGAAATATTGATCCTAGGTTCATTCTGGCCGAGTCTGGCTGGAACTATGGACTATGTCTATTGAAACTGGTTGAAAACGATCCATTTTTTCATCTAGCTCCCTTATAATCGGACTCCTCATATACAGCTTTAGTACAGAGTTCCCTAATGGACTTGAACGTTAACGATTCACTACGAACCTGAGCAACTTTAAACAACTGTGAGGTAATCTCTCATCGATAATTCTATTAATTTTTGGAACTTAATCCGTTTTCAATGGATTCCATTAAATACCAGCCAAAACTAGAGTTTTAAAAACCGTTTTTCCAAGGAAGAGGCAGAAAACCATTATTTCATCTGAAATTATTTAGAAAGCAAAAAAACTCATACATTCATTAGCTATGCAATTGGGTTTTTTATTTCAAATCAGATCATTTCTACTTAGAAACTATATAAAAAAATACAAAAAAACTAATAATTTCACTTTTTATAAAAATCTATGGCTAAAACGGAGAGCAATTCATTTTTTAACAAAACATGCAAACAAAAAAAAAACGCACTCATCATGTCACCAACTGTCTAACTGAGTAATTAAAAATCCTGTGAAGACATTTTCCAGGGCTTGTGGAGACGATGATATTGTTGCTTTTGAGCAGGTGTGCTGCGACCGAAAGGACTCTTAGAGTTGACCTGGAGTATAAAATCACCCTCAACATCGTAATCGGTATTGATGCCCATGTAAACACGTTTTCCATTGCCATTCTGTTCCTTGTACTGCTTGAGAGAGGTGGCACCAACAGCTGGGAAGTTACGTTCATTACCGGGTACAACAGATTCAGCGAAATAACGGACAGCACGCATGGAGGCTTCAACAATGCTATCAGCACCAGGAACACCTTCACTGGGACCATTGGGATAGAAGTCAACATCACCACAACGGGTAGGTGTTCCCATGCCATAGGCAGAGGTATGAATGGCATCGACGAATTCAGCATCACCACGTGCTAAACCTCTTAAGGCTCTATCAGTTTGAGCGTATAGTTTTGAGGGGTCCAAACCGGTGATACGACGCAACTGATGGCCAGTTTGACGGGTATATTGACGACCAACAGCACCGGCAACATGAGCAGCAATATTAGTACCAATAACATGTATGACTTCTTGTGGAACATCAGCCTCTTCGATGCATTTCACCAAAATATCACCAATTTCTGCGCCAGTCTTTTCCACATCCAAAGAAGCGTATTTTTTCATGGTATCGAAAACATTACCCAATTCAATAACAACTAAACTGCCAGAGGGTTTGTTCGATTGGCTGCTCCACTCATATTCTTCACTGGAGCTGGGACCTGTCTTTTCACTAGAATCATCTTCGTATTTTACACCGCTGCGTTGGGGAGCCTCACCATTGTAACGTTGCATATATGCTTGCACCAATTTACGTACGGCTTTCTTAACATGTTCAGATTTTTCGGGCAGGCCGGTAATGAAGATAGTTACTTCTTGGTTGCCAAACTCTTTCTCTTCTTGGGCAATCTTGGGTAATTGATTTAGTTTAAAGCTAACTTTCTTATTGTCGGGTGTAACAAGGAAGGCTGGGATTTCACTAGCCTTGGGCACATAGCTGGTTTCAATTGCCTGGCCAGCTTGACTCAAGTGATCTAATCATAAAAACCATATAAACAAAAATTAGCATTTACTCGGGTATTTTCCTTGATAAATACTTACACATTTTTTTCAACAAACTAGCACCTTCCTGCACCGACATTTCATCCAATTTCTTAAGAGTGATCTCATTCATAGAAGGCAAAGATTCCAATTCCGATACTGACAACCATTCGGTAGGTTTCAAGCTATTCTTAATAGAGTTACGATTGCTGCGCCATCTCATGGGACCTCTGCTGGATGAAGTATTGGCCGAAGCCAAGGCAAATATGCCCATTAGAAGACAAATGGTTCTTAAGGGATTCATGGTCTCTCAGTAATCCTTAGCACTTCCTTGCAATTGTCAATTTGGCACGTTAATTAAACTCAATGAATTGCTTTAATCACTACTGATAGTGAACTATAATTGTTTGCACTTGAAAACACTATTTATAGTTGATTTTGTTATCATTTGCAATTATTAATAAACAATTAATTTTGTTGACTTTTGCAGTTTAAATGAAAAAAAAAATATATGTATATTATAATATTTTCATTATAAAAACTCAAACATTTTGCAGCTGTTTGCAACAAACTCGGTCATTGACCACTAACTTGTGTTTTTGTTTTTTTGCTTTTTCTTTATAAAGTGTGTTTTAATCAATTATTCAATCGATTAATCAGTTTAATGTTTTTTGCTTTTCCTTTCCAACAGTTTAGACCATTCGGATTACAGTTTATTTAAAAATAATGAAAATAAAATTTCTTTTAATAGAAATTTTTCACAGAATTTACTTTTCATACTCGGGGGAGTTTTCCAGATTTTTCCTACCGAGCGCGTCCCCGGGTGGCGGATAGGGGGTGGTGATGGACCATCTGTCCTCTCCCAGCTTTAATTTCACTTAAGCTGAGGGAGGGCAGATTGTCCACCACCTGGGAATATTATATTCCCCGCGGACCAAAAAACTGGAAAAAAAAAAAAAAACAAATATGGAAAATAAAAATAAAAAGATAAAAGTTACGGTGCAGGGCCTAAATAACCCAGTACCGGCGGCAAGTGTTGATCTACTCGCGAGTCACGTGTCGTCGTCATCCTGCAATCGTGAGCAGAATACTACTACGGAGGTGGGTACCTTGGCCTCCGTGGCGGACAATGCGTCAAGTGTACAGCATGCCGCTGGCAAAAATATAGGGGTGAAAGAGAAGGATGTACTCGGAGAGAGCTCTAAGCTACCTCAGCCTTTAAATATAGGTGAGGGTTCCGACTCTGAATCCTCAGATGATAATAATAATAATACCATTATAGCAAATCCCAAAAAGGATGAAGTAGAGCAAATGGTGAAAGAGGTGAGTGATAGCATAGCTAAACTACCTATTACTAAGAAAAGACTTTCTGGAGCACAGAGGAGGAAGTTGAAAAAGATGCTTCAGGAAATCATAGTTAGTCAATCCCACGACACTCCAAAGGAATCGGACTCTCTCACAAGATCTGAGGCAAAAAGGATCAGGTCACCCGAGGAGTTGACAACTGAGAATAAGCCTAAGAAGAAAAAGAGCTCCCCGTCTTCTAATACACAGTCGAAGCCAAGCCATACTTCACTCAAAGGAATCTCAAGTGAGAATCCTGCGAGTAAGGGTGACAACGCCAAGCCAGATATTCCGAAGACGAACACGTCGGCGAAATCAACCTCGAAGGTAAGGGAATCTCAAAAGAAGCCCCGAAAAACGAGGAAGGAGAAGCTAGACGGAGGAAAAGGTAAAGAGCCGCCATCTTACGCCAAAGTTGCCAGAAGTAGGCACCGGGACGATCTCTGCTATGCAGTTTACGATGCCGGTAATCCGACAGGCAAAATTCCAATAGACCAACAGAGTAAAATAGAAGACCTGGTCAACAATAAGATAGTGGACCATGCAATAGCTTCAAAGGGCAAACAACCAATAGAGAGCGAGAGCTGCGAGTTCAGCATGGGCGTGATGTTGATGAGGTTGGCATCTCACCAATGTGTTAGCACCCTAAAGAACTTGGTGGAAAGTATCCCTCCTCCCTGGGACGGCGCTAGGCTGGGACTGGCAAAGAAGAGCGAGCTTCCGGTGCTCCTAAAGTCCACTGTCTACATAAAAGGATGGGGCAGTAAACTGGCTAATGAACGTATACTGGAAATTCTTGGAGGTCAAAATGCTGAGCTGGCCGTGGAAAAATGGGATGTCTTTTACAGGAAAGAAGAACCTGAGGGAACTTTATTTGTAATAGGTATCGACCAGAAATCCATGGCTAGTCTTGCCAAGAATAAAGGTAGGGCTTACTTCGCCTCTAAATCTGTCATATTCAAAATTGGGAAGGTGCCGATTGGAAGGGCTGTTACAACAAGCCTCGAAAAGGACACTAAAAAACCTAAGACCACAGTATCCACTACTGATAACGTTGAGGAGTCAAATCCTAAAATCGAGGAATTTACCATTAACTCGCCAGAAGAAAGTGTAGTTGCCCTTTCCAAAATTGGGAAGGCGCCGATTGAAAGGGCTGTCAAAACCGGCCCCGACAAGGACACTAAAACACCTAAGACAGTACCCAAAGCATCATTAGCAAGTACTAGCAATGTTGAGGAGTCAAATCCTAAAAGCGAGGAGGAAATCACTCACCCGCCAGAAGACAGAACAGCAATGCTCTCCAGAATTGGGAATGTGTCTATTAAAAATACTGCTATTCCTATGCCTGATAAGGACACCGCAGTGCCATCAACAGTACTCACTGCATTAATAGCCACTTCAGGCTATCCGGAGGAGTCAAATCCAAAGAGCGAGGAGGTGACCACCAACTCGCTGGAAGACAGTTTAATGGATGACCATGATTGAGGTTATCCAAATAAACCTCCATCGGAGCGAGACAGCTACCAACGCTCTGATGGCTAAAATCAACACAGGTAAAATACATATAGCTTTAATCCAGGAACCTTGGACGATTCGCAACAAGGTTTCTGGATTAAATCACGTAAATTTCCAACTTTTCTACGCTGATACAGGATCTCGCCCGAGAACATGTATCTTATGTCACAAGAACTTATGTTTTCTCCTCTCAACAGGATTATCAACATCGGATGCAACGGTGCTGAAGCAAGGTCGAGGCAACATATACCTTGCATCTATTTACCTGCCTTTCGATTCTCCGACCCTACCACCAACGTCGGATCTGATGAAACTGGTTGAAGAGGCACAAAGGAAAAATAAGAAAATTGTAATAGGTTGTGATGCCAACTCGCATCATGTAGCTTGGGGTAGTACAAACACCAATCGCAGGGGACAAGCCCTCATGGATTTCTTTAATACTAAAGACTTGATAACATTGAACTTAGGTAATAAAGCTACCTTCGTCAATAGAATCAGAGAAGAAGTATTAGATATAACTATATGTTCAGAAGAGCTTATAAACGAAATTCAGGATTGGAGAGTTTCGGACGAGCACTCCTTTTCTGATCATCGGTACATAAGATTCAAAATACTAAGGCCACCACCAAAGCCGATAAAGTTTCGGAATAAGTCTAAAACTAATTGGACAATGTTCGGGGCCTTACTAAAGAACCGTTTAGGTCAGGACACTTTTCAATGTCGAAATAAAGAGGATATAGATGCCAAAGTGGAAACGTTCACAAGTGCCCTGGTTGAATCGTTCGAGGACAGCTGCCCTCTGCGAGAGCGGAGATCTGCCCAGGAAAAACCCTGGGTAACTGGGGAGATCCGGAACCTTGGGAAGACTCTTCGCAAACTATTTAACCGGGCACGGCGTAAAAAGACCGCAGTATACTGGGATGAGTATCGTAATAAACTTGGTGAATATAAGAAAATCGTTCGAAGAGCCAAACGAGACTCCTGGAAACTTTTCTGTGAACAGGTAGATAGCGTAAATGAGGTATCGAAGATAAAAAAATTCCTATCCAAAACTCATGTCCAACCGGAATCTATGATCGATGACACGGGCAGGAGGCTTGAGGATATGGAGGAGACAATGAAACTCCTAATGGATTCTCATTTCCCACCCGGTATATCGAATAACATAGATGAACCGATATTGGAGGAAGGGGAGGGTAACACGGAAATAGTTATTACAACTGACATGGTTAAAGGGGCAATCAAGAGCTTTGCTCCCTATAAAGCTGCAGGGCCGGATGGAATTTTCCCGGCACTTTTGCAGATGGAGGCGGGACTGGTTTCCGTACATCTGTCACAGATATTCACTGCATGCTTAAAATTGGCATATACCCCAGTTAAATGGCAGGATGCAAGGGTAATATTTATACCCAAACCAGGGAAACCTAGCTATGCGACACCTAAGTCCTATCGACCGATAAGTCTTACGTCCTTCCTACTTAAAACCTTGGAACGGATAGTCGATAGCATGGTTAAAAGCAGCATACCATACAATGACCTTAAATATAAGCAGCATGCTTATGTAAAGGGACGATCGGTGGAGACCGCTTTAAATGAAGTTGTCCACTACATAAGTGAATCTTTCGATAGCAAACTGTATACACTGGCAGTATGCATTGACATCGAAGGCGCTTTCAATAACGTGCACACTGATACCCTTATCCAATCCCTAGACCAGTTTTATGTTGACCGGGTGCTCCGTAACTGGATCAACTACATGCTAAGGAACAGATGGATAAGCTGCGAGATGTACGATATAACTATCAGGAAAAAGGTATTTCGCGGTATACCACAGGGTGGCATTTTGTCACCTTTACTCTGGGTCACCACGATTAATAGCCTCCTAAGGACCCTAACCGAGAAAGGACTTAGACCTGTCTGCTATGCAGACGATGTCGTAATACTTTTAAAGGGAAAGGATCCAAATTACTTGTGTAGAAGAGCTGAGGAGGCTCTGAATACGGCCTTGAGCTGGGCTCAACCGAGAGGCCTCAATGTTAACCCGGCGAAGACGGAAATCTGTCTTTTCACAAGAAAGACAAAAATTTCTACATATACTGAACCTTGCTTCTTGGGCAAGAAGATACCGGTGACAGACAAAGTTAAGTACTTAGGTGTAATACTTGACCGGAAATTAAAATGGAGACACCACATAGAGGATAGGATCAACAAGGCACATCGGTGCTGGGCGATATGTAGGAGAACCATAGGCATGAAATGGGGTCTTAGTCCTACTATGACAAATTGGCTTTATAAAAGTGTAATTAGACCAATTCTAGCTTATGCTTCAATAATCTGGTGGACTGCTTTGGACAAAAAGTGTAATATCAAACTACTACAGGGAGTTCAGCGTACATGCTGCTTGGGTATAAGTGGTGCCATGTGTACTACTTCAACCAAGGCTCTGGAAACGTTGCTAGATATTCCACCCATTGAAACATATATAAGATATGAGGCGGCGCTTACAGCCGAACGGCTCTTTACTTTAGGCGAACTGGCCAAAAACGGTTATAGGACACGTCATCAATGTATACTGGACACATTGGAAGGTTATACACATTCATCGGACGTGCCTGATCGCATACCAGACACTGAATATGTCGGAAACTTTGAAACGCTAATCCCAGATAGAATGTCTTGGTCAAGCGGAACATTAGAGCAAATACCAGTAGGAATCCGTTGCTACACGGATGGCTCTAAATTAGGGGACAAAGTGGGTCTGGGGTTCTATATTGAAGACCCAGAAACAGAAATATACCACCGTTTACCTAATCATAACACAAGCTTCCAGGCAGAAGTACGAGCAATAACGGAATGTGTAAATTGGATTAGAATAAATATGGCGCCCACAGGGCTTAATATATTTACCGACAGCCAGAAGGCAATTTGTGCGATATCAGGTGATAGAATTAAATCTAAGACCGTATTGGATTGTAAGAAAGCTTTAACTGAATACTCTCCCAGAGGTAAGGTTCACATCATATGGGTACCAGGCCACTCGGGAGTAGCCGGCAACGAAAGGGCGAATGTAATAGCTTTAAAGGGAAGGGAGCTCGATGTAGTTAACCTGACAAACGCAAAACCATTCGACGCAACAAAAGCTGAATTAAAAATATGGATGAGAGAATCCCATAAGGCCTCTTGGAATAATGAAACGGTGGGTAGAACCACAAAGATTCTATGGGGTGACCCTGATGAGAGCAAGACGAGAAATCTTCTCAAAATGAGCAAGTCTGAGGTTAGTATGATGGTACGTATTCTCAGTGGACACACAGGATTACGAGCACATCTATACAAAATTGGACGTGCGAATTCAGACGAATGTAGAGCATGTGGAGAGGACAGTGAAACTCTGGAGCACTTTCTTTGCCATTGTCAGGCATTCGTCGAAGTTAGATCCAAGTATCTTGGAAGTGATGTTATTCCAGAAATAACATTCTTAACCAACACCGATTGGAAGATTCTTAGGAATTACGTCCAGGAAACTGAGTTTCTGAACATGGAAAAATAATACATTCAGTGAACAATTTTTTTTTTTTTTTTTTTTTTTTTTTTTTTTTTCTTGAATTGGAGCGCACAACAGGCCCGATAGTGGCCTAGGTGTATTTCTTCGGATTTGATGTAGTATACATCCTCCTATCAACCTACCTACCTACCTACCTACCTACCTACCTACCTACCTACCTACCTACTTTTCATAGAAAATTTTCACAAAATTTTCTTTCTCATAGAAAATTTTCATAAAATTTTCTTTTTCATAGAAAATTTTCACAGAATTTTCTTTTTCATAGAAAATTTTCACAGAATTTTCTTTTTCATAGAAAATTTTCATAAAATTTTCTTTTATAGAAAATTTTCACAAAATTTTCTTTCTCATAGAAAATTTTCACAAAATTTTCTTTCTCATAGAAAATTTTCACAAAATTTTCTTTCTCATAGAAAATTTTCACAAAATTTTCTTTCTCATAGAAAATTTTCACAAAATTTTCTTTCTCATAGAAAATTTTCAAAAAATTTTCTTTTTCATAGAAAATTTTCAAAAAATTTTCTTTTTCATAGAAAATTTTCACAGTATTTTTTTCATAGAAAATTTTCACAGTATTTTTTTTATAGAAAATTTTCACCGAATTTTTTTTTCCATAGAAAATTTTCACAAAATTTTCTTTTTCATAGAAAATTTTCACAGAATTTTCTTTTTCATAGAAAATTTTCACAGAATTTTCTTTTTCATAGAAAATTTTCACAAAATTTTCTTTTTCGTAGAAAATTTTCACAAAATTTTCTTTTTCATAGAAAATTTTCACAAAATTGTCTTTTTCATAGAAAATTTTCACAAAATTGTCTTTTTCATAGAAAATTTTCACAAAATTTTCTTTTTCATAGAAAATTTTCACAAAATTTTCTTTTTCATAGAAAAATTTCACAGAATTTTCTTTTTCATAGAAAAATTTCACAGAATTTTTCTTTTTCATAGAAAATTTTCACAAAATTTTCTTTTTCATAGAAAATTTTCACAAAATTTTCTTTTTCATAGAAAAATTTCACAGAATTTTTCTTTTATAGGAAATTTTCACAGAATTTTCCTTTTATAGGAAATTTTCAAAGAATTTTCCTTTTATAGGAAATTTTCACAGAATTTTCCTTCTATAGAAATTTTCACAGAATTTTCCTATTATAGAAAATTTTCACAGAATTTTCCTTTTATAGAAAATTTTCACATAATTTTCCTTTTATAGGAAATTTTCACAGAATTTTCCTTCTATAGAAATTTTCACAGAATTTTCCTTTTATAGAAAATTTTCACAGAATTTTCTTTTATTTTAAAAAACTTTCACAAAATTTTCTTTTATTTTAAAAAACACAAAATTTTCCTTTTTATAGAAATTTTTTTTTTATTATAGTACATTTTCACAAAATTTTCTTTAAATTTTCACATAATTTTCTTTTTATAGAATATTTTCACAACATTTTCTTTTCATAGAACATTATCACAACATTTTCTTTTTATAGAAAATTTTCACAGAATTTTCCTTTTATAGAAAATTTTCAGAGAATTTTCCTTTTATAGAAAATTTTCACAGAATTTTCTTTTATAGAAAATTTTCACAGAATTTTCCTTTTATAGAAAATTTTCACAGAATTTTGATTTTATAGAAAAATTTCACAGAATTTTCCTTTTATAGAAAATTTTCACAGAATTTTCCTTTTATAGAAAAATTTCACAACATTTTCTTTTTATAGAATATTTTCACAAAATTTTCTTTTTATAGAATATTTTCATAAAATTTTCTTTATATTTTCTTTTTATGGATCATTTTTACAAAATTTTCTTTTTATAAAAAAATTTCACAAAATTTTTCTTTTTCATAGAAAACATTCCGAAAATTTTCTTTTTATAGAGAATTTTTACAAAATTTTCTTTTTATAGGTAATTTTCACAAAATTTTCTTTTTATAGAGAATTTTCACAAAAGTTTCTTTTTATAGAGAATTTTCATTCAAAATGTTCTTTCTATAGAGAATTTTCATTCAAAATGTTTTTCTATAGAAAATTTTCATTCAAAATGTTCTTTTTATACAAAATTTCCTTTAAACAGAACATTTATTGAAAATTTTCATTAAACATTTTCTTTTTATAGAAAATGTTCATAAGTTTTCATTAAAAATTTTGCTTAAATTTTGATAATTTGATGAAATTGGCAAGTACGCTTTTTTTGGACCAAAGACAAAGCCTATTAAAAATGGTTAAAATCGGTCAATTTTTGACTTAGTCTATTATACCACTGAATCCACGAATAGAACTTTTTAGCTCGTAATTAAATTTTGATGAAATTTAGCAAGTACGTTTTTTTATTGGCCCTGGACTAAGCCTATTTAAAAAGGTTAAAATCGGTCCATTATATGTAGCACCCTGCCTCCATATACCGGAACTCCTAAATAGGGCTTTATAGCCCTTCTATATACTATATACTATATACTTCTATCCCGAGAAAAAGTCATACCGAAATTTGTAATGATCGGGCCTTATTTGATCCTACTGACTTCAGTATCCATAATCCACATAAGTCTCTGAAGTTAAAAGTTCAGTTTTAAATAAATCACGTTGGTTGGCAAACATTAAAGTACAGTCGAAGGGACTCAATTTTAACAAGAACTCACCACTCGTCTTTGTGTAGTTTTTGATCCAACCTGAAGCCGTGAGATATGTATAACAGTAGGTCGTTAAGTCTAAACCCAGATAACTGATAACTAAGGTTGGATATAGTGCAAAGGAATTTATTGTTCTTGGCGGCTAGGGCCGCACATTCGCAGAGAAGAAGATAGGTTATTGTTTCAATATTATTGGAACTGCAACATAATTTATTGATAAAGAGCCCGAGACGTCAAATCAGCCTAATGATCCGTTACTACTGCAAGTAACCTCGATATGTGTGTTCTATCGCGCGTTATATGTTGCATAGTACATTTTTCATAGAAAGAGGATCGGTCTCATTAACTGGCTTACTCCTCATAAGTCCCTTTTGAATACAGTATCGGAAGATACTACTGCCGTAGAGGTCTTTATGAATAGCGACCTAAACAAAGGCGATGTCAGACAGACAACCAAGCGTTATCCTCCTCATAGGAGAGGATCCCCATTTTATATCGAATATCTTGCGACCATTGCTATCACGTCTCTAACATTGATTATCTATACCTAGATATTTGACAGAATCGAGTTAACAAAAATGAGTTAAAGTGGTGTGACCAAGTACAACTTGATTGGACTACAAGATTTGTAGTAATTATTCCTGAGTTTCGGTTATACCCATATTCTAAACATTCTAAAAAAAACTTTTAAAAATATTTTTTAATTATTTTAATTTATTACAAATCACATGACGAACGGTACAAAAAAATGGAAACTAAACTAAATACTTTAAACATATAAAACTATACTTTTCTTGAAAATGAAATCAATCACTATTTTAGGTATCTCAAAATCCTTTTTGGCAGCCCATTAAGTCCCCACTTAATATTCGTAGTCCTGTGAGCTTTTGTAGGTCTTATGAATACCATGATAGGTGTTTTGCTTTTGAGCAGGAGTCTTCTTACCAAAAGGACTATTAGCATTGACTTGTAAGATATAGTCACCTTCCAAATCGTAGTCAGTATCAATGCCCATGTAAGCACGTTTGCCAAAACCATCGTTGTTCTTATAGTCTTTCAAAGAGTTGGCTGCCACAGCTGGGAAGTTGCGTTCATTGCCAGGACGGACAGATTCAGCGAAATAACGGGTGGCACGCATGCTAGCTTCAACAATATTCTGAGCACCAGGAACAGCATGGGAAGGACCATTGGGATAGAAGTCAACATCACCAACACGTTGTAAGGTGCCCATGCCATAGACATTGGTATGAATGGCATCAACGAATTCGGCATCACCACGTGAAAGACCAGTCAAGGAGTGAGGATTTTTAGAGAACAATTTGGAGGGATCCAAGGCAGTGATGCGTCTCAGTTGGCGACCAGTTTGACGGGTGTATTTATTACCAGCAGCTCCGGCAACATGAGCAGCAATACCTTGAGCCACCACATGAATGGTATCATCGACAACATCGCATTTCTCAGTTAATTCAACAATGGCGGAACCAATCATGGCACCAGTTTCTTCCACATCCAACAAAACAAAACGTTTAAGGCTGTTCAATTTGGAACCCAAATCAATGATCTAAAATTGGTAACAATTTACAGCTATAAATCCCATTGGGAAACTATATTTCTCGAAGTCAATAACACTTACCACTAGATTGCCGGAGGCATGTTGTTCCTGTTTCTTCCATTCGCTGGAAACCTCTTCACTCGAGGTACGTTCGTATTTCTCACCGGACATTTCATATCTTTGTGGCTGTTGTCTCTTGATGTTATAACGTTCCAAATAGGCTTCTACCAATTTACGATTGGCCTTCTTGATGGTTTCAGTGGTGGCGGGTAAACCGGTTATGAAAATAGTCACCTCTTCATCGCCAAAGTTGGGTTGCTGCTTGCATACCGAAGCTAATTTATCCAAAGTGGTGGTTACTTTTTGACCATTAGGCTTAACTATATAGCAAGGAACACTGCTGGGGCTGGGCACAAAGCTGGGTTTCAAGTCGTGATTTATTTGCGACAAATGGACTGTTTATACATAAACCACTTAATTAATATAAAAAATCCTTCTGTTAATAAAAAAAAACTTACAGATTTTTTCCAACAACTTAGCTCCCTTCTCCACCGCCATAGTTTCCAAACTATGTAGAGTTATATCCTCCACCGAGGGTATTTGTTCCAATTCCAATGAGGACAACCATTGTGAGGGTTTCAATTTACCACTAACACCACTACCACTCACTTTCAAGGTAACATGCTGTTGGCTTGGAACTGCTAAGACAGCAGCCATTAGCAAGACCGCCACACATAAACTTCTCAAAGGATTCATTGTAACAAATATTTTAGCCTTTATCCGTACTTTCGCTGAACTGTTGGCAAACTTGAACTGTGTTTGATTCTTTCACTTTCGAAGGTTTTTATAGTTTGTCTTTTCTTTCAATTTTATGTTTGGCTTTTCACAAATTGCCATTCTTTTTAGTTTCAAGAATCAGTGTTTTGGTAAAAAAGTGCTTTTCTTGTAATTTTTTTTTGCATTTGTTTTTTATGTAAATTGCTTTTTAATGCAGTTTTTTTTATAATTTAATGTAGTTAACATTATTTACTTAATTCTTGAATTTATGGATATTATTAATTAAAACAAAACTATTATAAATAAGCAGGGATGGGCTCATGAGTTCATAAAGGGAGCTTTATTGAATGACCATCTTCAAAACTCACCTACGATAAAAACATTGTCATACATACATACGTAAATTGAGAAGAGGGCAATTTTTGAATCAAACTAAACCTAATTCGGAAGAGTAATCACTTCCTATATTAAACCATTTTAGCCTCATTTTATCTTTATATATTGTTTTAAAACGATTTATTAAAAATCA